CCTCCTCAGATGGTTCCCAAACAAAATGGCGTCTGGAGCCACGCACTCACTAGTGTCGCAGCCTTTCTCTTCCTGTCCTGTCCCGCGACGGGTGGTGTAGCTTGGCAGGCGAAGAACCGCGGGCTGGATAAAAGGCCTAGATGGGCCGGATCCGGCCCACGGGCCATAGTTTGAGGATCTCTGTCCTAAAATATGTAAAGAGGAAGAGTGGGGAAGAGGGGAATAAATAATTTTAGAGATATCACTCACAAATCCTCTACACAGACACTGATTGGAGCTGTTAGAACATGCTAATGAAACTTTAATCACAGATTGAAAGCTAGAGTTATCTCTCCAACTTTGTTTCATCACATTACATCTCATCACAAAGTGGCTGATACTGGAAAACACTTTCCAGTGGGCTTCTCACCTGTATGTTGAAAGGTTTGTTGTTTTGTTGTTGTTATGTGTCTTAAAGTTGTTTCAGACTTATGGTGACCCTATCGTGGGGTTTTCTTGGCAAATTTTTTCAGAGGGGGGTTGTCATTGCCATCCTTGGAGGCTGAGAGAGTGTCACTTGCTCAAGATCACCCAGTGGGTTTTCATGGCAGAGCCAGGATTTGAACTGTGTTCTCCAGAGTCACAGTCCAACATTCAAACCACTACGCCAACATTCAAACCAACATTCAAACCACACTGGTTCTCTGAAAGGTCTGTTACTCTAGAATAATCTGGAAAGTATCAGAGTGCTCCAGGATAGTACAAACTGCTCTAGAATCCATTTGGCCATCTGGGAGCTGTTCTCAATTGGACCAAATCAGGCTAATCCAGAATTTGGGCTTCAATCAAACTACATGTAAAGGGCTAATATTTACCACCATGCAATTCATCATGTGCTGCACATTAAAATTTAGCTCCCCTCTTCTTCTTTTTGGAAAGGCTGGGGTAGAAGAAAGCTCTGAGGGATGAAAAAGTGCACACTGAGAGACAGAGGAAAGTGAGAAAACAGGGCTGTGTATGTTTGGGTTAGAATGTTTAATTGGGACTTGGGAGGTTCATCTTTAAGTCCCCACTGAGGCATGAAGGTCATTGGGTCATGACCTTGGGCCATTCAGTCACAATCTCTCAGCCTGACCTACCTCACAGTGTTGTTGTGAGGATGAAGTAGGAAGGAGGAGAGCTGTGCAAACAATCTTGAGGCCATTGGAGGAAAAGTAGGATAGACATTCAGTAAACAGATAAATCATATACATCATGGGGTCTTCTTTGTGTTTTGGGATCAGCCTGTGTAGCATGTGTGACATGATCTGTATGAAAAGCATTGACCCACATTTGTAAGCTATCCAGATGTTAACCCCTCTTCCTTGGTTTGCATTTTCCTGCAGTGGTGGGTTTGTGGAAAAGCTTGGAGTTGTATCAGAATACAGCCCACGCTGAAGCATGTTAGGTCCCCATTGGCCAAACAGACTGAGTTGGATCTGTCTTCTATTGTTCAAGTCACACCCAAGTGATTTGTTGTCCAGTTAAAGATAATGCATTTTACCTGTACAGCTCTTAATGCCAAAACACTTTATAAAGAGAATGATTTCCTATAAATGTTGATTTGTATGATCTACTTCTGAAATCATTGTTCCGTGGGGAGGCAACTCAGCATCTTTCAGAAATGATGTAGACCTTTCTCCCTGAACTGCTTTAATGTCACAGTATATGAGAGCCAGATTGGTGTAGTGGTTTGAGTTTTGGACTAGGACTCAGGAGACCAGGGTTCAAATCCCCACTCAGTCATGCAAGCCCAAGCAAAGTCACACTCTGTCAGCCTCAGAGGAGCACTGTGACAAACCTCTTCTGAATAAATCTTGCCAAGAAAACTCTGTGAAAGGTTCACTGTCACCATTTATATTTTATTTTAATTTTGTTTTTTATATAACTTCTCTTAAAAAAGAAAAGGAAAAGGAAAAACAAGGAATCAATTTATTCCCCTCCCTCCTGGTTTTGTATATTTTTGTTTGCATTCAAAAGGCTTACAGAGTTAGATGCTATTTACAAGGATTCAATATGCAAGGCTGGCACGCACACACACTCTCAATCTCTCTCTGTCCTCATCTCATGCTCTCTTTTTAAATCTACATTTTATACCATACACCAGGAGTAGGCAACCTAAGGCCCGGGGCCGGATGC